GATAAATTGCTTGATTGTTACTCATATATGTTTGTATGATCAAGTTATATCATTCGATTGTGCCGATATTTTCCGAGATCGGGTATTGAGCCCTAGTGTCGAGCCAAGGTTCACACTAACATGTTCCTCTTTCAAACATGGTGCCTTATGTGTTCTTAAGAGGGGGAATTAAGTGTTTCCTATGCCTAAATAAATCATAAGAAGGCTTAGCAAAGTCCAAAGCTCCATTAACAATATTCTATGCCTTAATCTATCATGAGCATGAAGTTTATATTGAATTGTGTAAGTGCTTTGTCCCCCCTTGTCTCCATGTGTTGTGACCAGAGCTTAATCAGCCCTTTTAGTGCTAAAAACAAGAGATGCTCAGTCCACTAACCAACACAATGCCCCACCATCATGTGCCAAGCCAACCTTGTGCATAGGAGTTAGGATTTTTTTCTAGTTTTTGTCTTCCTCTTCCTAGCATATTTTGTAACTCCCTAAGACCAGAATATAGACCTCTTTTCAGCCTCCTTAAGACCTCACTTGATGCCCCAAAAACTTAGAAAAATTCGAGCTGAAGTCCTCCATCCATAGCCAAAGCCGAGAGCAAACTAGAGTACCCCGAGAGAGAGAGCTTGGGTGAGACCGAGTGTTCTTGAGTTGTAGTAGCTTAAATTCGAGAACTCCAGCAAGTTAATCATCCTCCATCATCCTCTTTTCATCCTAGAAGAGATTATAATAACCAAATTTCAAGAAGGAAGCAAAGAAGCTGAAGCAACGCGAGTTCAAGCAACAAGCAAGACAACCGAGCATATCCGACTTCTTTTGCATTGTTTTGAAGATTAAAAGGTAGGTGTGCTAAAATCATTTTATAATCATGTTATAGATTAAATGACGAGTTGATTGATATATATTTATGCTATATATGTTCAGCTTTTAAGTGTATATAAGCATGCAAAATGTTAATGTTGTCCCAGCTCGCATGAGTGTTTCTTATGTAATGTTTGCTTGCATTTTTTACCATGCTATGAAACATCTAGGAAAGTATTCTTTATATGACTATTTCTTGAGTAAAATAGGAGTACATAGGAACAAGAATCATGTCTTTTAGATTACTATAGCTCAAGTTATATATATTTGAAGTTAAGTGTGCAAACCGCATTTTATATGCCTAGTTTCAGCAGAAAATTAAATTACGAATATCTCAGTCCTCAGTCATGATATGAATATGAAATTTTTATGGCATGTTTATATATAAGTTAAGAGCTTACATATCAAATTTCATGATTTTATCTTAAGAAATGAGTGAGTTATATATTTTAGACCGTATGCATGTCATGTTGAATTTTATGGTCATAGAACTTCCTCAATACATGCGTATTTGATGTGAAATTTTAATGAGCATTTATTGTATGAGTTATGAGTAAGTGTGGGATTTTATAAAATTTCGAGAAGTTAGAAAGGTCAAATGCATGTTTATATGCAAATTTGATGAAATTGTTTGGCCAACTAAACGAGCTTAGAATTAGCTGAAATTTTAACTGAAAATGCATGTCTAAGTGAAGTATTAGACTGCTAAATTTCAGTATTTTTGGATATTTATATGATTTTATAAAAAAGAATCCTAAGGTTTAAGGAGTATATTAGCTCATTTTAAATTATTTAAATAAAAGTATTTGAACATGAGTGTATATACAACTCTAAGCACGTTTTTAAGTATAAGAGTTGGCCAATTCGATCCAGATAAAGATCGACTGATAATTATAGAATCCGAGCTTCTGTCAGATTTTATTCGGAAGCTCGATATCAGTCCAGTCAAGCCGAGAAGCCAGTTCTAGTATTATTTGTTTATTTACTTGTGATTGTTTTATCCGTGTAAATTAATTGTATATATGTTTTATATATTTTTGCCTGTCTTGCTTTTCTATCTGCCACCATAAGTGTTAAACTTTCAGAATCAGACGTACCAGTCAAGCAAATTACTTAGATATATATATTTGCTTGTATATGTTTGGTAGCTTGTGGAGAGTCGAGCCTCCAACAGCTACACCAGTTTTTCAGCACTTGCACAGTCTTTCAGCATAATCAGGTGGAGGCCCTACACTGGGTATTACATCGCTTATAATCATTGTACCATGTACGAGGTATGTATGTAGATATTCACCCGAACGGTTGAGTTATCCCGTTCGTGGTCCAGTTTATGATGACTCGGTCTTGTATGGAAGGTTTTCCCATCCTGAGTCACTCACCCAGTTTTGAATGGTAGTTATTTCCATCCTGGGTTTCTGAGGGAGGCGACCCCCAGAATGTTATCACATGATAATCTGACCAGTTTGCGGATGTTGCACCAGTACAATACAGTTTTATTTATGTATATGCTGAGTTCATGATATTTGATTACATGTGCTGTATATTCAGTGTTGGTTCCTGCGGAGCATGGTGATTTATTGCTCACGCCCCCACTATTTATCTTTTTAGGTGATGGAGTACAGCCCGGAGCGTGAGCCGAGCAGTGGTGTGGTGGTGTCCGACAACAGCTGGACATTTATTATGTGTATGTTTATATTGGCATGTAATAAGATAATTTCGTACTGTACTGTACTTTATTTACGCTTCCGTATTGCCAACTCAGAACCAGTATGCATGCATGTTTAATTTCCCTTATCCATATTCCCCAGCTGGATAAATATGTCGATTGGGTTACATGCATAAGTAAAAGAAAGAGCAATAAGTCAAATTAGTAAGTAAGTAGCATCCCGCAAGTCAGTTAAGTTCAAATGTTTTTCGAAATCAGTTCCAGTATCTTTCGGAAACAACCACGAAAATTTTACCCAGTTTTTCGTAAGTCCAGTAAGATAAGGCGGGGTGTTACAGTTTGGTATCAGAGCGCAGTTAGCGTTTCTGTAGACCAAAAGTCTAGTCAAGTTACCACACCACGCTCACGCTCGCGCTGACTCCGAGGTAAGTCACCTAAACCAGTCTTTATTTTTGCAAGTGCTTTATCAGTACAATATGAGAATTTCAGGGGCCTAGAAAACTATCCTCCTATGAGAATGAGAATTCTAGATAAGAACTCTAGAACGAACTAAGTCCAAGAACTCTAGTCAAAGTCAGAACTCCTATTTGATTCAGAACTCTATAAAAGTTAAGTTGTATTTTTTTCTCAATGACTCGCCAAGAAATGTGCAAAGTATCGAGTTATTAATATTTCATCTCTTCTTCCAAACTCTTTCATGTGCTAAACTTGTCAACTGGCCATCCAGATGGCAAATCGCAGAAATGCTCCAGTCCAGCCAGTTGCAGCCTCTCCAGTTGCTCCTGAGCCAGACCAGGGGCAGCGAGTTGCACAGTTTCGTGGGTTTCACCCAGCGACTTTTAATGGACAAGGAGATTCTAGACAAGTTGAAAAATGGCTACGCAACCTTGATCTTATCTTCGAGGTCATGGGTTTTCCAGAGCGAATTAAGATCTTGTGCGCCCAACTTCAGTTGACGGGGGATGCCGGACTTTGGTGGACAACCTACTGGGCCATGAGGCCTGGGGAGAAGAATAATGTCACATGGGAGCGGTTGAAGGAGATAGTCAGGGAGAAGTACTACCCAGTTCACTACAGAGGTAGGATGGAGAGATTGTTTCTGAGTTTGGAGCAGGATGATCGGACCGTGGATGAGTATGAGCGCGAGTTTACTCGCCTCGGCTTCTTCGTGCCACATCTTATTGACACGGAGGAGATGAGGACGAGGCGCTTCCGGGGAGGTCTACGTGGAGAGATCCGTCACACCCTGACTGCTATGGGTGCCATGCCATATGCAGAGACAGTTTCTCGAGCCCAGCAAATAGCAAAGAGCTTGATGGTGGAGGCTAGTCGAGTCTGTGCCCCAGTCAGACAGCTAGTCCAGCCACTGGCTCTACCACAGCTAGCGCCACCTCAGCAGGCGCAACCTCAGCAGGCACAGAGACCCAACAAGAGAAGGTGGGAGGGTCGTAATGATCGGAGGAACAGATAGAGGGTTCCAGGACCAGCACCAGCTACAGCCCCAGCTCAGGCTGTGCAGCCTATCCTTCAGGTTGCACCTCCATGTGCCACCTGCGGCCGTAACCATCGCGGGGAGTGCTTAGCTGTTTAGAATGTGTGTTATCACTGTCGTAGACCTGGCCACGGGATTCATGATTGCCCAGACCGCCCTCAGAATCAGCAGGGTCAGTGCCAGCAGGCCTAGAACTAGCCCAGAGGTGGACCTGCACATATCTTTGCCCTTAACCAGGTAGAGGTAGCCGAGCAGCCAGGTACAATTTCAGGTATGATGTATTTATTTAACATACCAGTCTTTGCCTTGTTCGACACAGGAGCGACCCATTTGCTCATTTCCACAAAGTGTCTCGACGCTCTAAATGTCCAGAGAGTGTTTACTGTCGACCCCCTTGAGATCAGCCTAGCCTCAGGGAGGAAGATAGTGATGCACTCTTTGGCCAAGAACCTTAGTCTTGATATTGGCGACAGAACTCTAGCAGCTGATGTGTTTGTGATCGAGATGAAGGACTTTGACCTTATTCTTAGAATGGATTGGCTGGAGAAGTATCAGGCAGACATCAGGTGCCGAGAGAGAGGGGTGACACTTCAGTTGACCGGGGGAGAGCGTATCACGTTCTTCGCAACGAAAGCTAGAACCTTATCACGTGTTATCTCAATGGCGAAGGCGACCAAGTATTTGAAGAAGGATGGGACAATGCACATGTGCATCAACTACCGGGATTTAAACCGGTTGACGGTGAAGAACAAATATCCACTTCCCAGGATAGAAGATCTTTTCAATTAGTTGAGGGGCGCTAGAGTGTTTTCCAAGATTGATCTCCGCTCTGGTTACCATCAGCTGAGAATCAAGGAGACTTATGTGGCCAAGACCGCTTTCAGAACTAGATACGGACATTATGAGTTCGTTGTGATGCCGTTCGGCTTAAGCAATGCACCAACGGTATTCATGGATCTCATGAACCGTGTTTTTCATCCCTTCTTGGACCAGTTTGTTATCATCTTCATTGATGACATCTTGGTCTATTCTCGTAGTGCGGAGCAACACGAAGAGCATCTGAGGACCGTGTTGCAAACTCTTAGACGGGAGAAGCTTTATGCCAAGTTCTCCAAATGTGAATTCTGGATTGATCAAGTGGCTTTTCTTGGCCACATTGTTACGGCGAGAGGAATCGAAGTTGACCCATCAAAGATCGAGGCAGTCTGGAACTGGTCAGCACCGAAGAATGCCACCGAGGTTCCAAGTTTCCTCGGATTAGCCGGCTATTACAGGCGTTTCATTGAGGGGTTCTCCAACATAGCCCTACCCTTGTCTCGTCTGACAAGGAAATCAGTGAAGTTTGAATGGAGTGACCGTTGTGAGGCGAGCTTCTAGGAGCTCAAAGCAAGGCTTACGACGGCGCCTGTGTTGACTATACCGCATCCCACTCAGGGTTTCACTGTTTGTAGTGATGCCTCAAAACAGGGTCTAGGCTGCATACTGATGCAAGAAGGCAGGGTTGTGGCTTATGCTTCTCGACAGCTAAAGCCACACGAGGAGAACTACCTGACTCATGATCTTGAGTTAGCGGTAGTGGTTCACGCCCTGAAGATTTGGAGGCATTATCTATACGACGGTCGATGTGAGATCTTTACCGACCACAAAAGTTTGCAGTATATCTTCACCCAGAAAGAGCTCAACATGCGGTAAAGGAGATGGTTAGAGCTGGTGAAATACTATGACTGCACCATTAGTTATCATCCGAAAAAGGCGAATGTAGTCGATGACGCCCTCAGCCGGAAGGCAAAGGGTGAGCTAGCATGCATGATCACCCAGCAACATCAGTTGATAAGAGATTTTGCCCGGATGCAGATAGAAGTGGTCGAATCACTTTCCCAGCCAGAGACGAGGGGAAGTATCAGTTCACTGAGAATGCGGCCCATACTCCGAGATATGATTCAGCGGAAACACACTTCTGACGAGTTCATTCGCTCGTTAGAGGCCAAAATATATACCGACGGAGTAGAGAGTTTTGATCGAGGCACAGATGGTGCCTTACAGTACAAAGGGAGAATTGTTGTGCCGAACGTCGAGGCCTTGAGGAAAGAGATCTTTACCGATGCGCACAGTGCACCATACTTGGCACACCCCGATAGCACCAAGATGTATCACGACTTGAAAAGGTCGTTTTGGTGGAGGGGCATGAAGAAAGATATAGCCGAGTTTGTGAACAAGTGTTTGATCTGCCAGCAAGTAAAGGTTGAACATAAGTATCCATCGGGATTTCTACAGCCTTTAGAGATTCCTCAGTGGAAGTGGGAGAAACTGACCATGGACTTTATCACAGGACTATCGAGGTCGTCCGAGCAGCACGACGCTGTATGGGTTGTAGTGGACCTTCTGACCAAGTCGGCCCACTTTATGCCAGTTAGTATGGACATGTCTATGGAGAAGTTAGCTGATATTTACTTCTGTAGGATCGTTCGACTCCATGGCGTTCCTGCCTCGATTGTATCTGATCGAGATCCTCGTTTTACGAGTCGATTTTGGGAGAGTCTGAATGAATCCATGGGGACGCAGTTGAAGTTCAGTTTCGCCTACCATCCACAGACCGACAGACAGTCAGAACGGACCATCCAGACACTCGAGGACATGCTTCGAGCTTTTGTCCTTGAGCGAGGTAGTTCGTGGGAGAAATTGCTACCAATGGTAGAATTCGCGTACAACAACAGCTATCACTCGTCGATCAAGATGGCACCGTTCAAAGCTTTATATGGTCGCAAGTGCCGCTCACCCCTTTATTGGGATGAAGTCGGCGATAAACAAATTCCCGGTCCTGAGTTGATCGAGGACAAAGTGCAAAAGATCGCCGAGATCCGAGCGAAGCTGAAAGAGGCACAGAGTAGACAAAAAGCCTATGCCAACAAGCATAGAAGAGAGATTGAGTTTGACGGGAACGATAAGGTGTTCTTGAAAGTCATGCCGATGAAGGGCGTAGCTCGATTCGGGAATAGAGGAAAATTACAGCCTCGTTTCATAGGGCCGTTTGATATTCTCGAAAGAGTGGGTGAAGTAGCCTACCTTCTGGCATTGCCTCCCGAGCTCTCGGGTGTACACGATGTTTTTCATGTTTCTATGTTGAGGAAGTACGTGTATGACCCGAGTCACATAGTCAGCTTTTACGGGTTAGAAGTCGGGCAGAACCTGACTCATGATGAGCAGCCGATAGCTATTCTGGACCGAAAGGTTCGACGGCTGAGAACCAGAGAGATATCGCTCGTCAAAGTACGTTGGAGTCGCCACGGCGAGGACGAAGCCACTTGGGGGAGAGAGGCCGAGTTTCGAGCTCGATATCCAGATTTCGAGTTTTGAGTTGTACAGTTGCACTTTTATCTTGTACTTTTCAGTTTTTAGTTTGTAGCAGGAGTTCTGACCTTGTACCTTAGTTCTGTATTTCCGAGGACAGAAATATTTTAAGGAGGATAGGTTGTAACGCCCCAATCAGTTAATAAATAAAACCAATTCACTTGCTCGACTTTAAAGTGAATTGGGTAATGTTCGAACCCTAGAATTGTTCGACTACGTATTTTCAAGAGTTATTATGTGAATTATATGCTTTTATGTGATATTATGTGCTAAATTGCTTGATTGTTACTCATATATGTTTGTATGATCAAGTTATATCATTCGGTTGTGCCGATATTTTCCGAGATCCCGTATTGAGCCCTAGTGTTGAGCCAAGGTTCACCCTAACATGTTCCTCTTTCAAACATGGTGCCTTATGTGTGCTTAAGAGGGGAATTAAGTGTTTTCTATGCCTAAATAAATCCTAAGAAGGCTTAGCAAAGTCCAAAACTCCATTAACAGTATTCTATGCCTTAATCTATCATGAGCATGAAGTTTATATTGAATGGTGTAAGTGCTTTGTCCCCCCTTGTCTCCATGTGTTTTGACCAGAGCTTAATCAGCCCTTTTAGTGCTAAAAACCAGAAATGCTCAGCCACTAACCAACACAATGCCCCACCATCATGTGCCAAGCCAACCTTGTGCATAGGAGTTAGGATTTTTTTCTAGTTTTTGTCTTCCTCTTCCTAGCATATTTTGTAACGCTCTAAGACCAGAATATAAACCTCTTTTCAGCCTCCTTAAGATCTCACTTGGTTCCCTAAACACTTAGAAAAATTGGAGCCGAAGTCCTCCATCCATAGCCAAAGCCGAGAGCAAACTAGAGTACCCCGAGAGAGAGAGCTTGGGTGAGACCGAGTGTTCTTGAGTTGTAGTAGCTTAAATTCGAGTACTCCAGCCAGTTAAGCATACTCCATCATACTTTTCATCCTAGAAGAGTTTATAATCACCAAATTTCAAGAAGGAAGCAAAGAAGCTGAAGCAACGCGAGTTCAAGCAACAAGCAAGACAATCGAGCATATCCGACTTCTTTTGCATTTTTTTGATGATTAAAAGGTAGGTGTGCTAAACTCATTTTATAATCATGTTATAGATTAGATGAGGAGTTGATTGATATATATTTATGCTATATATGTTCAGCTTTTAAGTGTATATAAGCATGCAAAATGTTAATGTTGTCCCAGCTCGCATGAGTATTTCATATGTAATGTTTGCTTACATTTTTGACCATGCTATGAAAAATCTGGGAAAGTATTCTTTATATGACTATTTCTTGGGTAAAATAGGAGTACATAGAAACAAGAATCATGTCTTTTAGATTAGTATAGCTCAAGTTATAGATATTTAAAGTTAAGTGTGCAAACCGCATTTTATATGCCTAGTTTCAGCAGCAAATTAAATTTCGAATATCTCAGTCCTCAGTGATAATATGAACATGAAATTTATATTGCATGTTTATATATGCGTTAAGAGCTTACATATCAAATTTCATGATTTTATCTTAAGAAATGAGTGAGTTATATATTTTAGACCGTATGCATGTCATGTTGAATTTTATGGTCATAGAACTCCCTCAATACATGCGTATTTGA